GGAGGTGAGCAAATGCATCTTGGAGGAACGTTGCCATCATTAACCTCCACAATATATAGTTTATTTAATAATAACAGTTGATATGTGAATCATGAACAGTGATTGACAGCTGATAGGAAATATATGACTTGTTAATATTCTCCCTATTCATACAGACACACATCGATGTAGACAGTTAATTATGTACTATTGCAGCAGTCGCATATTTGGTCACCCCTGCTGGTCTAAAGAGTTAAACCAATCTCATGCAGTGTTAAAATTCCCCCCCCCCCCCATTAAATTCCTGTGCCACCCTTATATACTTTATATTTAGAGGCTTTACTGATGTGGCCACAATAATGTCACCTAATGTTATTGAGTTAAATAATCAATATTGTGATTTCCAGAGTTAACATTGATTGATATGACTGCGATCAATCCAGAATATACTTCTGCCAGGGGATGCCCCCTCAAATCCCTGCCACCTACTTTGCCACCCCATTGAATATGTTGGTCAAGATGCGCGCCCTGCACACACCTAACATCTAATCAAGGACATCAAGGCTCAACATGTAAAAAGCTGGCTTTATAAACCAAAATCGGCACAAAAAGTATATACAAATAACTCTTTCCAACCCAACCGGTGAGCAACAACCTTTTTTTGTTTTGTTTTTAAACAAAATAACCTACCATATCATGTTTTTTTTTACAACAAATATTTGCAAATGTGTTACAGGAAATGCACATCCGGAACAAAACAATAAATGGCTTTGTTCAGTTAAAATATGTAAGCTTCAGGTCTTTTCACAGCAGACAATGTCACAGCAGAAAAAGCAGTGTTTCTAATAACATAATAGATGATAATGTTCAATACAATGTCCCCATTAAGTCATGACTGTTAACAATTGAGCTTGCATACACCTACCAGTAAAAACAGTCCAATAGAATTTCATTTATTTTCAAGGTGTCATTAAAAAATGTTGTAAGTAAAAGACTCAAATCATCCTATTAATTTTCTGTCATGGCAACTTAAAAATGACTGCTGTTGTAAAATGCCCAATTACTTTAAGTGTAATTGTTGGTGGTGGGAGTATCTTTTACTTTCAGACATTTATATTTCAATATAAATCAAAATCAAACATAATAGTTACCGTAAATTGTAAGTAACACAAAAAAGTAACAGATAATGCAAAAGTAAGGCATGTATTTCCAAAAACATTTATTCATTATGAAATAATATACGATTTTTCATTTTTTATCATTTTCGCTGGATAACAATTAATTAATAAAGTCGTAAAATTATAATAGAATGAAAGAGATAAATGGGAACATGTTGCAGTCAAGAAGAAGAAGCCATGCCTTTAACAGGGACTAAATAGACAGATCTAACAGATCGAAATATTGAAAAGCTGAAAAGTAGTGAAACAATTGGACCAGTGCAGATTTCTGAATAAAGTAAATTACACGAAGTATCTCCCTCATAAAAGGAAAACATATCATGAATAGTAAGAAGACGAAGATTCATTAATCTGTCCCAATACACACTGAGCGCTCAGTCGAGCATCCGGGTCACAGTCCAACAATCTGCAGGAGCTCCTGGCGTCACAAATCCCTGAAGTTGTGAGATTTCTTTTAATATATTTGACAAACTAAATCAACCTATCTGAAACATTTTGATCAGCTATAGCATTATGTAATCTTGGCAAATACAGAAAACAAGCAATTTTCTGTGAGAATACCTGATGGTAGCAAGTCCCCAGTCATTTAGGGTATGGAGGGTCTTTTCTTCCATGTGAAACACATACTGGATGAGGCTCCCAGGTTTACATCGGCCCCAGCTCTAATTCCATAAGGCACAGCATGCTGATGGAGCAACACCGCCTGCAGAAATGGAGACATTTGCATGCATTTAACATCCCGCTTTAGGTCTCCATGACATGACGTTCCAAGCAGTGCACAGTGATACTGACGAGCGCTCATTCAGAAAAAACTACAACGGAAAGTGAAAGCAGACATTTGCAAGTATTATAGAACTTTAAGTTCATATTTTTTAATATTTTTAACGTTGGTGGCGTCTTCCAAATAAAACAAATCCAATGCATGTTGTTGTGTTTGATAGAAAAATTAAGCTCTTGGGTATTAAGGCAATAACACAAACATATAAGAGAAAATAAATTGTAAGTAAAAGAAAGGTCAGAATTATCAACAAGAATATAAGATACCAAACAGAAACAAATACAATAGAAATGAGTGCAAGATATCAGAACTTAAAATTAAAAAAGCGATTTTCAAAACAATCAACAACTAAATATACTACGCATAGACAATACATCTGAATCTAAATGAATACAGCGTTTTCTGTAGTTACAATAGGGCTGTAGAGTGTACAGATCTAGAAGCCCATCACTTTACTGATGGCTTGCATGATCTGATCATAAGGAGTTTTTACCTTCAAATAAATCAGAGCAACTCATCAAGATCTCCCCACGCAGCAGGGCCAGAGCCGTAAGATGTCTCCCTGCAGTAACACCAGCCGTTTTCGAGGTTTCACAGAGCCTTTCCAGGATCTCAGGGGGTCCATGTAGCGCCAACAGTGCCCAACTGAGCATGGGCCTGCAGCATGGAGAGTCCAGGGAATTATTTTCTATGTAAGTAGGTTTTCCCCCTCCTGCATTCTTCATTTATTTTATAAGGGAATTCTAATGAACGGAAAAGACCACCTACGTAATGGCATATAATTAACTGTTACTCCTATTATGGTTTCACTGCTGCCGTAACCTAACAATAAATAAGTATGTGGCGTCCACCAGGGTCTCACCTCCATGTGGTGCATGGAACCTGTGATGTCCCTGAACAAAATCTCAGGATGGTTGAGCATCCAAAATCACACAAAGACACAGGTACCATCTGCCTACAAGCACGTTGGAGCTGCGAAGTCTCCTGTGGCCACAGGGGGTTTATGCACATCTGTAAGAAAAGAGAACACTGTGCACAATAAGAATGTTCTAATTGTTTGTTTATTTGACTATAGTCAGATTTAATATGATCCAGAAGACTCATTCATTAAAGCTTGTTTAACTGTGGAGCCTGCTTCGCTTTATATTGATGTGGAGCCTGTTATTAAACTGCTGTGGGATCCCAAATAGTGTTAAAATACTTATTAAAATAATGTACATTTAGTTATATAAAAACATTATAATCCAAATTATTAGTCATGTTTGATATTGAAGCAACATGTGCAATATAGACCCATACGATTGTACAGGGCATGCTGTTGTAAACCAGTAAGATAAAACACAGCTTGCACACCACACACACACACACACATACCACACACACAATGTTCCAAAATAATTATCTGGCCAATACCATGATGTGAAGTCCCAGAGTGGAGATATGGAAACCTCCCTGCGATAAAGACTGGCAAGCTTCACTGACAACTCCATTGGTGGTGTGTTTACATAGATAGGAGTGGAGAGAGCCTGGAAATCAAAGGGACGTTCCAGTTAATGAAATTATAAGAATCGAACATTAAAAACGTTAGGTGTTCTGCCACA